CGTGTTTGATTCAAACTAAAACTCATATGTATCTGTCTTTGGCTCCGCTCTGTTCGTATTTATGCGTTTTTGCATTCTAAATAATAGGCTTATTGTACTGCAATAACATTATTTTATTTGCACTAAAGGACACAAGATCGGTTAGGCCTGTTAGAATATAGAACGCACATTATTCTAACCAACTGATCTTTTATTTACTTTGAACAGATTTTTATTTAGAGATTTTTTTTCGTTTGAATACGCTTTTGTTCTGCACTCATAGATGCTTTTTCATAGTTCGGAGGCACAAAACAAAAATCGAAAACGATAATATTGGTTGTGCTCCCGTACGAGTCCGAATGTACAGTTTTTTCCAGATTTTTCCTGAAATCGATCCCCAACTCGAATTTCTTTGATAATTTGTACTTTTTCTGTGCAAAAATTTAGAATTCGCCTATTCGCCTCGCTGATCGCTCGTGCGACATTTCCGAACATTTCCCGACTTCAATGCCACTGGGCTGTCCCTGATAGAGACTTAGATACTAATCTCTATTACAAAAAAGGCAGACACTGCAAACGTAAGCTTGAGGATATGATTGTCCAATCTGCAAGTGACACCCGCGCACTCCTATTTTCATCTCTGTGCCATCAGTGAAGCATATATCACCATCCTTTTCCGTCCGTGGGTCATTCTTTCCTATTTGAAAATATGAACTATAAGAATTCTTAAGCGATAATTCTAGAATCTACAGTATCGGTCATATCTATAGCACGCCATTTCAAAGTGATATTGTGTGCCACTTATGTTTATTTATTTATTTTTAAGAATTTTCAATTAAAATTTAGTTCGTTCTCAGACAAACCCCATATATACCCAAGTTTAACAATTTGTAGAAAACTTCAAAAACGTGCTACAAAACGTCACCTAAAATTCAAACTTTTTTCTCGGAAGTTTTAGAATTTTTTTTAGTACACAGTTTTTTAGCCCCTGCAATTTTAGTCTGATAATGTGCAAATTTCAAGTGGCTACGAATTATCGTTAATTTTTTAGAATTTTTTTGCCGCATTGGCTTCCATATAATGAATAAACTCAATTTATTTGTATATGGAAGAAACCCGCAACACCTTTGGCGAAAAAAATTCTAAAAAATCAACGGTAACCTTTAGCCGCTTGAAACTTGCTCATACTAAAATTGATTGGACTATAAAACTGTATGTTTAGAAAAATTCTAACACTTCCGAGAAAAAAGTTTGAATTTTTGGTGAAGTTTTGTTGCACGTTTTTTGAAGTTTTCTACAAATTGTTAAACTTGGGTATATATGGGGTTTGTCTGAGAACGAACTAAATTTTAATTGAAAATTCTTAAAAATAAATAAATAAACATAAGTGGCACACAATATTACTTTGAAATGGCGTGCTATAGATATGGCCGATACTGTATATATATAATACGCGAATAGATTTTTTTTGTCCAGATTTTCAAAAATGAGATATGCTTGGTCTGTAGATGTGCAAACTGGTTTTAGTTTTTCGAAAAGAGTTGCCACCTGTTAAATAATCACACTGAAGTTATTTAATAATAAATGCCCTCAGAATGATGCGCATTCGTTCGATTTTCAAAAGTGGTGTCAAATTAAAGGGCTTCAGGTGCAGATGTTCAATAAGATTTTACTTTTTCAAAAAACCTTGCCACCTGTTAAGAAATTAGGCTCAAATTATTTAAAAAGTTAAATCAATTATTCCAATATGGGTATCAACCGAAATGCTTTTGAAAAGGCTTTATATCTTATCTACATACGTGTAGGAGGGTGGCCACATGTTTAACAAATGAAATTCAATTTTGATTAAAGCAATTTGGTAAGTGTCAGACAAAAGAGGTAGAGGTAGAGGAAGGTAGTAGTTTGGAAATATTTTGAAGAGGGTTGCCCCATATTTAAGAATTCCAATTAAATTATTTTTTACCCAAGTTATGTGAAATATTAAAAATGGAAATCAAATGAGAGAGTTTTATGAAATTTATGACAATTTACAATATTTTTGATATATTTGAGGTTTGCCCCAGTTTAAAAGAATAAATTAAAATTATTTAATAAATTAAATGAATTACTAAATGATGGTTAGCAATGGGGTTAAAATTGTTTATTTCAGAACTATATTTAGAAGGATTGCCACGTGTTTAAAAAATAAATTTCAACTTAATTCATCAGTTACTTGAAATATTTATAACAATGTCATACGAAAAATATTTAAGGAAATTTTGGTTCGAAAAAAATTCTCAAATTAATTCATCAGTTAACTGAAATATGTATAACAATGCCAGACGATAAACAGATTTTAGTTTGAAAATACTGTTAAAGGGGTTGCCACCTGTTTGAAAAGTTGAATTTGTTTTACTTATAAAGAAGCTACGTAAATGAAATATCGAAACATTAGTGTCAAACGAAAGAGTTTTAAGAAAACTTTAGGCTGATAATATTTTTAATTATGGTTGCCATCTATTTTTTTGAAGGTCATCACATCTGCAATGCTGATTCGAATTTCCAAAATGAGAAGTCAAATTAAAGAACTCGGATTCTACATAGATGTGCAATAACGTTTTATTTTTTGAAGTAAGAGTTAGCGGTACAGGGAGATTTGAAATTTCATGAAATGAAAACCGACACCATGCGATACCTCTCATCACTCAGAAATGGTTGAGATAAACCATCAAGAATATTTTTTGATGTTTTTGAATAGGGTTTCACCAGTTGAAAAAGTAAAATTCAATTTTGGCGTTGCAACGGAATGCGGGTTCACTAGTGTCATAATATTATTTGCGCTGGCCTACTCTTAAGTCGGTCTTGATCTCTTTTAAGTTCAGTTAATCTAATCGCCATTTTTGTGGTTGGGCCCTTAATGAAGACTTTTGGCGGCTTTTAGGGGCGGCTTCTCACAGCACCTAATAAACCGCGGCGTGGGAGTCCCCGCACCCTTCCGATGATTTTCTGATTGCTACTTTTATCCAATATTTTCCACCAGACTTGAGCTCATAAGGTATGCTCCGTCGCATGGCTGTAGTATATAAACCATGAATGATATGCGGTGAAAACCTCAATTTTTTCGGAAAGCCCCTTTGCAGGTATATGATGCTGCTAGGCCTTTTTGTGCTCCCTCCTAGATATAACTCACCAGATCATGGCGTTGTCGCCCGATCTGCCCTTGCAATAGGAGCGCTGCGCTATGCCTATTGTGGGGATGCTGGTAGTTCTCCCTTATAAATAAAATAATTAGCAAGTCAATATGAAAGTTTTATTGGCCCAAAATTATTTGCATTTTGCATATATGTATGTAGGAATGAATATAAGTTAGTAACTTTCAGTTTGCAGTTCATTAAATCAAATTTTAAACTTACAAAATAATATGGTAATAATGGCGGAGTGTTATAAGACCAAAGGAAATAAGCCATATGGCTTTATTTCACTTCACACTGAGAAATAAGGCCATATTTTTGCGTATGGTCTTATTTCTCACCTTGAAAGTGAAATAAAACTATTATGGCGTTATTACAACTTTGATACTAGTTGTCTAATGTAGTAAATCTAATTCATTTTGCTACCTATATTATCATTCGGAGGCGGAAGCATGTTATTAACAAAAACTCTTTATATAATATTGCTGTTTTGTATAATAAATTACACGGTCCAAAATGTACTTAATCACCGATACTTTTGAAACAGTAGAAAAATATTATATTATTTAAAAAAAAATAATTCAACAAGCACATGTTTTTAACGACAAATATTTATTTTTTTTTAGTTTTCTTCATATTTGTCAGTTCTTCTTCCTACTTGGCTCTACAACTGTTCCTAGGTTTGGAACGGGACCAAAAATCGTGCTATTTACATCTATCCTTTGCAACGTTGTGCCAATTCTTTTCTTGGTACTTCTTCTGTGTTCGTAGGCGCGATTTCTTTTCGCGCAGTCGAAGAATATTTTCACCGGAGCCTCTTCAGCCATGCGGACAATATACTCAAGCCGGAGCAATTTTTTATTTGTATGCGCTTAGTTAGCTCAAAAAGCTCACACAGTTTATCATTCCATCTTCTTCGGTAGCCGTCGCCCACGCGAACAGAGCCATAGATTTTGCGTAGAATAGTACTCTTGAAAGCCCCCAAAGCGTTCTCATTTGTACGTCATCCAGCGTTGCCAGGTTGACGTTTTTAACGTCATTTGGACGTTTTTTGTATCCTGTTGACTTTTGGATGTTTTTTGTGTAAAAATTACATTTTTTAACTTCCCAGTAATTTGCCTTTGTTACTAAATCTTGTAAGTAGAACTGATTTTGAATTATTTTCTTAATAAATCTTTACAATCTTTGTGTTTTCCTGCAGCTGCTTTAAAAAATATTTATTCTTTGGACACAGATGACTCTAATATGAAGCAAACCAAGCGTACGCGCATTTATTTTATGTTTGCAATTGCACATTAAAAGCCAAATCAGGAAGACCCGATCTATTGCAACACTCACACTCGCAAAAGCATCAAAAAAGCTGTGCAGTAGGGAACTTTTTTAATTATTAAAAATCAACGCGATTATTTAGCCCCTTTAAACTTGAACATTATTGCCCTGAAATTTAATCGGCTATCAAACTCAAAAAAAATCTAAAAAATCTGAATAAAAAGTTGAAAATCTAGCTGAAAATTTTCAGATTTTTTATAATTTTTGCACAAAGTTTGAAATGTGGATTTATATTTTGTTTGTCATATAATGAGATTGGTTTTTATGAACAAATAATAAACATTAAACTAACAAAAGAGAAATAGCCAAAAAGATCAAAATGTTGATGACTTAATCAGCTGTTCACAAGTGTATGCATAAAATGATTTTTATATTAACGATCTCAAACCAGTTTACAATGAATTTTAAATGTGCTCTGT